CCTTATGTTGGTGTGTGTTTCTTGTGTCACTGTGGACTTTTCTTCTTTGGTATTAGTGATTAGTAGTGCAATAATCATTTAATCTCCAAAAGCATAAACACGTGGATTCTGTGTTTTTGATATTGTGAAACGGCGTGTGGCTCAGAGCTTGTATAACGCGCCCTGTTTGCTTTCATAAGTACAGCTGGACTTCATTTCCTTCAATTCATTTCCTGTTTTCTCACATTTTCTGAGCCCCTAGAACTGCTACAGTGATTCTTTTATAACTCCTGTGTGTGCGGACTCAGAGTCTTGTGGTATCTGCATTTTATGGCTTTTTTTTCTTCTTGTTTCCAGTCTTATGAAAGCAGTCCAGATCACAGTTGCATAAAACACTCTGTTTGCTTTATGCAACTCAGTACAGCTGGACATCATTTGCCTTAATTCTTTTTCTTTTTATATTTATAGATGAATGACTTTAACTACCTGTCTTTAAACACAGACTGCACACAGATGCGTCTGTCCTGTTTTCACTTTAGTATTAAATCTGAAACTTCACATAAAAGGTTTTAATACATGAATTTGACCTCTGAGGACAGACTTCTGCACAGGATGTAGCAGCTCTGACTGTCTGGACAAAATGGGACGCACCCACCCTCTCATTCTAAAAATGACATAAATGTCGGTAAAAACTCTCTTCCTGGCTTGAATCTGGCTGCCCGGTCATCCCAGGGAAAAAAACAAAGAGTGTGAGAAAGCAAAAACTCAAAGTCGCCCCAAACCAAATCGCTCCGTTTGTCTCCACATGCCCCACTCACACCCACTCTCATGACTCATCACTTTATTTTGCCCCAGAACAATCATTCAGAGCCAAAATCAAAGACAGAAGTTCAGATAAATGTTCACAAAAAGCATGCTTCACAACAGGGTATAAATGCACAAATTCAACAGCTTGCTTTGCAAAATAAAAGCGAGTGAGATGAAAGAAAGCAAAGAGGTGAGAAGAAATGAGGGATTCTGAGAAACTCAATCTTAAATTTTAAAACGGAAAATACACAAATACACAAAAGAAAAAAAAGGTGGAAAAATAAAGATACAAAAGTAAATTTTCCAGCTAACTCGCTCGGATCGCTTTCTCTGCTCCAACAACTACAAACGTTTGAGATGGAGCTGACGTGAAGATGAAAAAAGAACAAAAAGAAAATGAAACAGGGGCGTCTGTCTGCTTACCGGTGTATCGATCTTGATCAGAGCGATGTCTGCCTTCTCATC